TACATACCTTACGCATTCATATATGTTGAAAGGCGAAAATAACCCTCGGTATATTGGACGTGATGAGCCATCCACCGTCAAACTTTTTTGAACTGCATTGCCCTTCTGCTTACTGTTTCCTAGTAACGTTACAAGTCTAAAGACCCTTTTTGAAACTTAATTAATCAAAATTTTAGGTTATCTGAGAGATGTTGGTCTGTACCATGGACTATGACTTACAATTTTACTTCTTTGTGATAATGTAACCATTTAAGATATTTAGCATTTTTCGTTTACCTTTCCGTTTGTTTGATGTTATTTCGTTTTTAGGTCGCTGTGTGTTTTACCGTTTGATGGCTGTAATAACCTTTTATGTGTTGACGGCCGTTAAGATCGTAATAATAATGATTAGAAATCTTTTTACAATATAGGTTTTGTTTTTAAGAGTATATGTATTCAGATATTTTTCAGTAATGATGTAAAAATGTAATAGATAAACCTGAGTTCTAATGAATGTGCATAAACAGAATCAGTAGAATATTATAGATGCAACGTAAAAATACCAAATGCAATTGTCTCTTACCTGCATAGAAAATCACTTTAAAACCATTAAAGATATTTCGAAAAAAAAAGTTGCTGTGCACATTTATTATGCAAATGTGCATTACATGAGGTTTCTGCCATAATTTCTCTCTTTCCAAACCTATTTTTAATTCAGATGAGGTTTTTGGATAATCAGGTCATCCAAACGTTTAGTGACGATGCTCGAGGCCCAGTGAGCAGACGAGAAAAACATTTTTTAATCATTCATAAGTTATTTGATTTTAAAATGCTGACACACTGCAGAAAACACAGATTATTAGATGTGAATAAAGTCAACTAGTTTATCTTTTAAAAAATAGCATGAAATGATTTCAACGAACAATGTTTTTTTGCACTTCTTACTATTTTCAAAGTCTATACTAAGCTGATTTCTGGAAAAGCTATCTCGAATCATGGCATGAGTCAGGCCAACGGGTGATACAACTATTATAAAGTTGCTGTCCCATACCAACTGTGAAATTATATGGAATAAAATCAGTGTTTACTTCTAATGATGGATATATAATGTGAGGTTTTACTTTTAAACGTTTTCAGGTCACATGGTTGCATATACTTTCATATCTGCATGTTGTTCTGGTTCACGATATTAATATGAAATTTCAAAATGTTGTATTTTCTGCCTTTCTGCAATACATTTAAATCATTGATGCAAATGCAAACTATAATAAGTTACACGATGATGTGGCATATTTAAAATAATAAATCCTTTAGAGTTACTAATTAATTTCTATCCCAATGACGAAGTTGGGAAATGGAGAATGAAAAATGTGATCAGCGTATCAGTCTGTTTGTATACAGAATATGGTACTGACTACCACTAACCTTTGTCGCCGTTAACAGTACCTGTGCTCAAGATTTGGAAACGACTAGTATTTTTTATACATATGTTCATTAGAGTATTGTAAGCATCGATGTAAGCTACATTTCTAACAAACTTTAGAGGTCAAAAGTCAATTGATGAACAAGGTATTGTTGGGAAGCACTAAGGATAATAGCTCATTTTTTCGCTGATATATCTGTTTGTCATTAGCTCCCCTTCATTTGATATTTTGTGAGCAGTACTCTGTAGTAAGGAGCTGTTATACTGTGATAGCTGATATATATATAGACTGTTTTATGACCATGCATCTTTAAGCGTATGGATGATCAGCGAAAACATTGGCTTGAATAGCATGTACGGAGATTGCGGGGATACTGCTTAATTGATATCAATGAAGATTGGATACTTACAACACAATCAACTTATTCAAAACTGACATCTTATAGCAATGTACAGAATTTTAAAAACATTATCTTTAAGGAAATGCTGACCCCTGTCGAACCCAACAAAATTGGCTGAAATTGAAATACTAATATTTTGGCTTTTAAATGCCACCTTTACCGGTTTTTGATTTCCCTGAAGTTTTCACCAAAAATTCTTGACATAGAGGGTCAGATAATATATAAAGATGTTTAGTACGCTCAAACTGAAAGTCCAAGCTTCAGTTCTTTGAAAAATTGTCTTAACAGAAGAAATGTCAGAAAAACACATTTTTTTTTTTTAATTTGAATTTTTTTTTTATTTTGCAATATTTTGATACATATGTAGCAGGGATGAAATTGGTTGCTTTTATTTATTTGTTTAATTAATAAGTTGTTTTTTTAACGCGCCGACTGTCATTGTCTGTACCGTGTTTTCGTGTATTGTTATAACCGCGTCCGTGTATCGTATCCCATGTCATGATTGGTTATAGTGTTGTGTTACTCGTCAGGTATGTCGTTCTGTTCGTATCCTATGGTGTGGTTTGTAATTGGTCATTGAGTTAGTTTTTTTTATTGGTTCGTTCCTTCTGGTCAGTTTGGTACCTTTGTTGTTTTGTGTCCGTGCTTTGTTCTTAGTTGGGCCAGTACCCTTAGTGGACGTTGTAAAGGACGTACGTGACAACAGTATCGGCGTTCATCTGAAAGGCTCTGTGCTATACATAGGTATCTGCAAATGGTATACTTTTGTATATTTTTGTAATGTTATAAAATCTAAGATATGTTTATTATCAATTAATTACTTTACAAATTACAAGTCACATCTTGTAACTATATATTGTAATTTATTGTAACCGTATGTGTAGTCTCTGTGAGTTGAAAATGTATAAGAGTTATTTCCCTTATATTAACTTAATTATTACGTTTATGTGTACGTGTGAATGTGATTTGTGGTACGTGATGTGTACGTGTGAATGTGATTTGTGATACGTGATGTGTACGTGTGAATGTGATTTGTGGTACGTGATGTGTACGTGTGAATGTGATTTGTGGTACGTGATGTGTACGTGTGAATGTGATTTGTGATACGTGATGTGTACGTGATGTGTACGTGTGTGTAAATGTGATTTGTGATACGTGATGTGTACGTGTGAATGTGATTTGTGATACGTGATGTGTACGTGTGAATGTGATTTGTGATACGTGATGTGTACGTGTGAATGTGATTTGTGATACGTGATGTGTACGTGTGAATGTGATTTGTGATACGTGATGTGTACGTGTGAATGTGATTTGTGATACGTGATGTGTACGTGTGAATGTGATTTGTGGTACGTGATGTGTACGCGTGAATGTGATTTGTGGTACGTGATGTGTAAGTGTGAATGTGATTTGTGGTACGTGATGTGTACGTGTGAATGTGATTTGTGATACGTGATGTGTACGTGTGAATGTGATTTGTGATACGTGATGTGTACGTGTGAATGTGATTTGTGATACGTGATGTGTACGTGTGAATGTGATTTGTGATACGTGATGTGCACGTGTGAATGTGATTTGTGGTACGTGATGTGTACGTGTGAATGTGATTTGTGGTACGTGATGTGTACGTATGAATGTGATTTGTGGTACGTGATGTGTACATGTGAATGTGATTTGTGATACATGTATATTATGTTTTAAATGTTGTTATTTGTGTGAATGTACGTTGTGTACGTGTGTGTGATTTGTGGTACGTGATGTTGTTGTGTACGTGATGTGTATGTGAAATTTGTGGTACCGTCAAGTGTGAATGTGATTTGTGATACATGTATATTATGTTTTAAATGTTGTTATTTGTGCTTATTGTAGGGTTTGTTGTGTACATATTAAAACCGTCAATAAAGGACACGAAACCTAAATAAGTGGAGTGTTTTATTTCAAACGCCAAGCCACCTCTGTTACACATATGTACCATCATATTGTCAAAGTGCTTGTGGTATGGACAACACGAGGCGGCCATCTCAACAGAAGGCAATCACTTTATTGATGACGTAGCACACAGTACACAACAACAATACAAGGGGACTAACTCAAGCGACTTTGCACACACATGGTAAGACTACACATATATTATCTATACAGCAGTGATCCTTGTTAATTAATCTGTATATGATTTGGTTTTATACACCATGAATTAACACTTTTTTCGTTGTAAAATACCACTTTTATTTAATTTGGTGCATGGCAACACTCCACTGTGTATGAAAGAGGTCCTTTGTCCGCTAACACTACACCGTCTCTGTCTTAAATTGTACAAAAGTTCAGAACAGTATTTGTAATACATCATAGAAATAAATAAACGGGTATTACAATTTCGTATATTTTTCTATACATGTTGCTACTGGAGTAAAGTAAATAAAATATAGATACCACAATTTGAATGTCTTAATTAATCATACGTAATTGCTAGTATAAAAAAGGTAATATCTTTGTCAATCAAAGAAGACGAACTAACAGCAAATCACGGAAAACTAACATCAAAGCCATGCGGCGCGGGGGATGTTTAGTTGCGTAAAGCCATGGGGCGCGGGGGATGTTTAGTTGCGTAAAGCCATGCGGCGCGGGGGATGTTTAGTTGCGTAAAGCCATGGGGCGCGGAGGATGTTTAGTTGCGTAAAGCCATGATGTTTAGTTGCGTAAAGCCATGCGGCGCGGGGGATGTTTAGTTGCGTAAAGCCATGCGGCGCGGGGGATGTTTAGTTGCGTAAAGCCATGGGGCGCGGGGGATGTTTAGTTGCGTAAAGCCATGGGGCGCGGGGGATGTTTAGTTGCGTAAAGCCATGCGGCGCGGGGGATGTTTAGTTGCGTAAAGCCATTGGGCGCGGGGGATGTTTAGTTGCGTAAAGCCATGCGGCGCGGGGGATGTTTAGTTGCGTAAAGCCATGCGGCGCGGGGGATGTTTAGTTGCGTAAAGCCATGCGGCGCGGGGGATGTTTAGTTGCGTAAAGCCATGGGGCGCGGGGGATGTTTAGTTGCGTAAAGCCATGCGGCGCGGGGGATGTTTAGTTGCGTAAAACATTGCTTTAAAAACTTGTATAACCTACATATAAGTACAACGACAATATCCAAATAAACACGTTCCAAAGTCCACGATACTTTATAAACCAACTTTCATGTCATGTTATCGTCTAGATCATTCAGTCTAATACCAATACATCCATTGCTTCAGCTTTGTCTTCGTCAATTTTCTGTAATGCAGAATGTACATCTATGTCATAAATTCATCACGTAGTGACATGTTTCGCTTATACATGCAGATTTAAACTAAGATGGCGTCGTGCATATATCGACTCGAATAATCAGCATACAACGTACAAATCTCGCAGCACTACCATACTGTTTTATCAATGCATTCGCGAACCAGTTCTGTTCCTATCCATGCTTTTTTGGAAACATTCTGTGAATATCGTCTTCATATAACTTTGATTGTTGTTTCCATGTTACTTTAACTGTTGTAGGACACATTACATAAACAAACAAGAACGATTTTTTAAAAAAGAGTTTCACATGGTTGTTAGCACCTACCTCGTCTGTTTTAGGATACTTTACTCCGCCCCGTAGTTTTCTTCGAAATCTTTCCGGAATGCAGAAACATAAATGGTCACACACTGGTACCACTAATCCCGGATCGATTGGCTTTCGAGCTTGCAAGCAAACATAATCAAAGTCATTATGATATGATAATGGCATTTCATCAATGCTATAAACCGTAAAAACAAGAACGGATATAATGTTGTTTTTAACCTTAAATTGTTGTGATCTTTTTCATTACTTATAGTTACTTACACGTCAACCTACATTCTTTTATTGGCATATCAAGTGTCTATAATTTCTTGTAAAACTTTTTTTTTTGGGGGGGGGGATTTAAATTTTCTGTTATTTTATTTAAATGTATATTCAGTTTACAGGAACCACATTCTCTTTGCTATTATTTAAATGATGGCCTAACACTTCTAGAAGAAATCTTTTCTTGTCTTTGACATCGCTGGCAATTAATATCAAAACGTTATCTGCGTAGAAATAAATCTGATATGTAAACACGAGATTCTCGTGCAATCATTTCTTTATGTTTTCTTAAAACCAAACCATCTGTGTTGACATTATATTTGTTTCCGTTATATTATAATGAGAAATTCTTATGATCTAAAATATTTCTGCATAAAACGAGGACAAAATACCATTTAAGAAAACGTTTACTTGGGTTTATGTCTAGAATGAAAGCTTATCACACAACACTATATTACCTTGTAGACGGCTTACGATGGTTCCAACAATTAGTACCAAAAGTATTCCAATCGGAAACAACCATTTATAGGAGAGAGAATATAGTACATCCAGGCCTTGCCTGTAAATTAATCAAATATACATGTGATCATTCAAATAGAAGCATCAAATCGCTCCTCAATAGGAAATAACAAGTGTATTCCTTAGATGCTGATATCAACGACGTAAAATGTTTCAAAAGTTTCGTTTCTTTGTATTTATATACTGTATATGCATTGTTTTGTATATCCATTAACCCTTTGATAGCCCTAATGACCTTTTATGTGTTGACGGGCCCTTCATACTGTAATAATAATAATATTTGTTTATCCATGAATATACTGCCTTTATCATATTTACTACAGGTTACATTTTTAGTAATGGTGCCAAATAAACCGGAAAGACGTATTGCATATCTATACAAATAAATTTTATTTCTGAAGTTTCTTAATCAACCTTTAGCCAAAAATTCGATTTATGTTAAGACACACACAAAAATGCCAATGCATTGTATAGTGAAACAATTCAAATATTATAATTGAAAACAATAACATTTCTTATATATCTGCAAATTGTTCTACAAAGCAACAGAAAAATTGCCTTTCAATGGAGTTAAGCTTTGAATTTTAACTGAAATGTCAATGTTTGAAAATTGGTATAAAATTTCTAAATATTTGTTTTAAAGTACTCACGGTCCAGAAACTACTGAAACAGGTGTTGTCCCACCTATAGTACTATTCCAATCAGTCCACGATGTATGATCAGATACGGTTGTATTTGTAAATTTGGAAATATTGAATATCGGACAACTTTTGGTTGAAGCCGGTTCTAATATTGCATGAACACGTACTCCTGGGGATAGTAGTTTTCCAAATGATATCCATCCTACAATTACGAATGATACAAAACCACCGACTGACGCCCCCTGTGAACATACGACATAAAAAAATTATGCAATATTGATATTTGATACCACTTTTAAACACACAATTGCCCCTGAATTCAACATCGAAGGGAAAACGATACGAAATAATGTATTCAGTTGCTTCGCCTTAGAATAATAATACAGTACACTTGTAAAATCGGGTTCTAGCAACACTTACTCACACGTCAATGGAGAAACTTGGAGCCAGTGTTTCGTAAAATACGAAATTCAAAATAAAATAAAAGGGAGAGGACAAGAATACCTGTAAAAAATAACAATCAAATAACTGGGGAAATCCTTGGGTCAACAGGCAAGTATTATCACATCAAAATGAAAGACATTTTGCCTCTGCAGAGAAATCAACTGAAGAAGCATAATGAACTTACTTAACTCTAACTTACCTGTGTGAAGAACTTAACTCTAACTTACCTGTGTGAAGAACTTAACTCTAACTTACCTGTGTGAAGAACTTAACTCTAACTTACCTGTGTGAAGAACTTAACTCTAACTTACCTGTGTGAAAAACCTAACTCTTACTAACCTGTGTGAAAAACCTAACTCTAACTTACTTGTGTGAAGAACTTAACTCTAACTTACCTGTGTGAAGAACTTAACTCTAACTTACCTGTGTGAAGAACTTAACTCTAACTTACCTGTGTGAAGAACTTAACTCTAACTTACCTGTGTGAAGAACTTAACTCTAACTTACCTGTGTGAAGAACTTAACTCTAACTTACCTGTGTGAAGAACTTAACTCTAACTTACCTGTGTGAAGAACTTAACTCTAACTTACCTGTGTGAAGAACTTAACTCTAACTTACCTGTGTGAAGAACTTAACTTACCTGTGTGAAGAACTTACCTGTGTGAAGTGTGAACTTAACTCTAACTTACCTGTGTGAAGAACCTAACTCTAACTTACCTGTGTGAAAAACTTAACTCTAACTTACCTGTGTGAAAAACTTAACTCTAACTTACCTGTGTTAAGAACTTAACTCTAACTTACCTGTGTGAAGAACTTAACTCTAACTTACCTGTGTGAAGAACTTAACTCTAACTTACCTGTGTGAAGAACTTAACTCTGACTTACTTGTGTGAAGAACTTAACTCTAACTTACCTGTGTGAAGAACTTAACTCTAACTTACCTGTGTGAAGAACTTAACTCTAACTTACCTGTGTGAAAAACTTAACTCTAACTTACCTGTGTGAAAAACTTAACTCTAACTTACCTGTGTGAAAAACTTAACTCTAACTTACCTGTGTTAAGAACTTAACTCTAACTTACCTGTGTTAAGAACTTAACTCTAACTTACCTGTGTGAAGAACTTAACTCTAACTTACCTGTGTGAAAAACTTAACTCTAACTTACTTGTGTGAAAAACTTAACTCTAACTTACCTGTGTGAAAAACTTAACTCTAACTTACCTGTGTGAAGAACTTAACTCTAACTTACCTGTGTGAAGAACTTAACTCTAACTTACCTGTGTGAAAAACTTAACTCTAACTTACTTGTGTGAAAAACTTAACTCTAACTTACCTGTGTGAAAAACTTAACTCTAACTTACCTGTGTGAAAAACCTAACTCTAACTTACTTGTGTGAAGAACTTAACTCTGACTTACTTGTGTGAAGAACTTAACTCTAACTTACCTGTGTGAAGAACTTAACTCTAACTTACCTGTGTGAAGAACTTAACTCTAACTTACCTGTGTGAAGAACTTAACTCTAACTTACCTGTGTGAAGAACTTAACTCTAACTTACCTGTGTGAAGAACTTAACTCTAACTTACTTAACTCTAACTTACCTGTGTGAAGAAACTTAACTCTAACTTACCTGTGTGAAGAACTTAACTCTAACTTACCTGTGTGAAGAACTTAATTCTAACTTACCTGTGTGAAGAACTTAACTCTAACTTACCTGTGTGAAAACCTAACTCTAACTTACCTGTGTGAAGAACTTAACTCTAACTTACCTGTGTGAAGAACTTAACTCTAACTTACCTGTGTGAAGAACTTAACTCTAACTTACCTGTGTGAAGAACCTAACTCTATGAGTATGAGTATTCATTTTTTGCTCTCTTTCTGACAGTTCAGCGACTAATTTTCTTGTTTTTGAAATGTCGGTTTCCCAACTTTGTTTCCTTCATTACGTCTATTGTTTATATTGACGTAATAGTCATACTTACCAACGCATTTGCGGTTGGTACAAACCATCCTAGGAACATCATGCCTGAAACTGCACCACCCATGCATGCACCAGTGACATCGAGTATCTACAAATATACAGGGTTAATCCCAGAGTAATGTATATAATGTTTTTTTTTTCAATAGAGATCAATGTATTTGTTTTCCATATATCCATCACATTGTTATAATACAAAATATACTGCAGAGAGAGAACACAATGATAAATTATAATAATGTTTAATGAATTTTGAATTGTAGCTGAATGTGTTGCATGAATTCCAATTCTTGTTCGAAGAAATTTAATATTTTGATAAATGTATCTGCGTACAATACACATGTAAACTATATTCAATAACCATACCTACATTACATGGAAGTTTATGTGTGTGTCCCACCAATAAATAATCACCTTTTAAATCTCCATATCTCTGTGTTTTAGATGTTAGATAGTACATACTGACTAATGTAACATAACACAGTAAACTATTGCAACATGTATCAGGAATATATTGGTAAAGAATTACTCTAGATACATGTAAATGGTTTGACACACTGGTTAGTAATACTAAAAGTGTTTGTGTCAGAACCGGATGGCCATGTTGCAAGCTAGCTATCAGCTAATAGCCATAGGGACTTCATATGTAATGATGAGAAATACATTTACTAACCTTTTTTCAAATAAATCAATAACTTAAAAATGGCATAATAATGATTTATGATGAATTTATGGTATGTGTACATGTTCAACTATTTTTTTAATCTACATTTTTCTATGTACGAAATGTAGTAGAATGATGTCGACAGAATGTGATAGTGTCAATAATTTGATTAAATCATAAAGACCAACCGTATTACTGAGTTGTACTATATAATACACATCACGAAGGTAAATGTAGATACCTATAAATCTATCAAATAACTGCCTTGAACTATATCTATATGTTACCTGAGACAAAGGTCTTCGGGGCCTTATTCTAAACAATTTTGTCTTGCCTCATCAATCGTTTGTCGAGTATCTGTAGAAAATCTACATTTTCGTATTTTCTCAGAAACCCTGTATCATTTTCAATGCAATCCGCTGAAATCTTGGCCAAATATGGACCAAACTTGTCAATAACATGATCCTCGCATCAAATGGGAAAACCAGTGTTATTCAGATATAATGGCCTTAAGGTGTTTAACCAAAATGTTGAAATTCATTACTCCCTACCTTAAATTGATACATTTTAACATTATTTGTTTACAATAGATATATCTTAAACCCATTTAGAAGAGCTTGCTTGAGACTCGTGGTATGTTCATATTGCCACTGGCTCACCCAAGGGGCTAAATGGCGCAGCATCAAACGAACTAACATTTCCAACAACCTTTTCACAACCTAGGTAAGTAAAATCAAACGTTATAACTGACGAATCCGTTTGATCTCATGTCGTGGTATTGAAACTGTTTCATTACATAATACCTACCCTTGATATTGGTCCCTTGATTCCAGTAATAGCGTAAGCAATAACTATGGCAAAACCCCCGAAAAGAAATGCTGAAAGAATAACAGGTCAAATAATCAATCCTCAAATATCAACTTCTTTCGCATGATACAAAATCTACCAAATCTATCAATTATAACTAATTGGCTGCATTCCCTCTATGATAACTCTTCTTTCTTAGGGTTATGTAGACTTACAATATTATTATAATTAGATTCTTAACGACCCGTCAACTCATAAAACGACATCAGGGCCAACAACCAGTGAAACACGCAGCAATCCAAAACGGGAAAAAAACATCAAACAAACTATAAGGTAAAAATCGTTATCGTAACGTTTCAAGTATATGAATACCGTTTCTTGAACTGTTGAGATTTATTAAAGACTAGGTTATCTGAAAGATGTTGGTCTATATTATAAAATATGCCTTACCATTTTAATCTTTTGTGATAATATAGCCATGATTTTTTTGCATTTTTCTCTTACCTTTTGATTAGATTTTGTTTCCTTTTTGGATCGCTGTGGGTTTAACCAGTTGATGAAATTTAAGGTGTTGACGGGCCGTTAAAATTGTAAGAATGTAATTATTATTATCATTATTGCATTACAAAGGCGCTATTACGTTTTGGTCGTTGAAAGAAACCTTTGATGAAGTCGTTATCAGACTACTGGTACCTGATGTTTGGGTGATTCGTATTGATTTCTTATCAGACATCGGTTTGGTGTGTGGTTTGATGATATCTTCCCAGAATAAAGCCGATATTGCACTTAACATCGACGACATTGTACTGCAAATCAAAATAGGCATGTAGAGATGTCTCAATTCTGGTCACGAGTGAAAACTAGAATAGCTATGTAAACTGAAAATGTCAACACAATACTGACTGGAGCTCTTTTATTTTATTATTATTTGGGAGCTGTGAACAAAGCAATGCAATGCATATCGCTTTTAATGATATTCAATATTGTTATGATAGTTGAGTAAGAGTAATAGAATACAGATACAATTGACAATATTCTGTTGAGCACATGACCTATGTAAGCTTACATTACATAATCTCTTGTTCATTTGAAATGCGACACACAGCTTACCTAATGTGCATTTGAAAAAAAACCCATGTCAACTATAGTAACTGAAACAAGTTATTTTAATTATGTTTAGACCATCAGGTTCCACTTTGATATTACCTGAGTGATGCACTGAATAATGCCGCTAAGAAAAGCCCCGGAAGGCAAGGCGTGTCCTGGAAGACATCTCGCACCATTTTTGCCATTAACTGTAGGATATATTTATAATTTGCAATGGTATCATTTATTAATAATATCGAAACGTATTAGTTGGATCAGTTCAGAATAAAATTACTTTATAAGAAGGTAGGTTAACCACTCTGCGGACGTCGTGATGAGGGCGGAGTTCAGGGTTTACAATTGTAGTCTTCTTGATAGACATCGCAATTCGTTTTCATTTTTGTACATTATATTTATATAGTTGTTCATATTGAATTTGAGCATAATCTATTGTTCTAAGCAGATTTAAATATGTATTACTCTGTAAAATAAATAAATCAGGTCAGAAATAAAACTAGAATTAGATTAAAAATCTTACAAGTCAGCAATAAAATCACCTGATTCTGATTTCCGACTTGTTTCGCAACAAGTGGGTCACATCCAGTTGCATGATAGTAAGAGAACATGACAGCTCCTGACAGTACAGCTAGCATGGCAATACCAACGGACAATAAGGACGAAACGAAAAACATTCTGAAATGTCAGAGTCCATGTCATTCATTCCAAAAGGTGTTTTAATTGTAAATGGTCCAAACAACTGATCCGCAATTAAGTGATGAGGATGTTACATTTTACGAGATTTTGTGTTGAGAAGGATATGCGGAATTATCTGAGAACTCTCAATAAGAGGACACTTATTCTAAAGGTTTCACAAGAAAAAAAACTTTGTCAATATTGTGTACATTGTTCACAATTTACGACTACTTACAATTCACAATTTACTTGTTCCTTCTTTAAAAAAAACAATTAAGACATTACCTTTTGGCTGCCGATACTGAACGAGTAGCTTTAATCCGCTGAAATGTAGTTTGTGTGAATGGCATTCTTAACCCTCTGATGAAATCACCAATAAAAAGGCTCCAGAACGACTGACGTAAAGTGGGATCGGGATCAAAACTAAAAATAATTCGATACGACAAATAAAGCATATACTATATATAGCATATAGACTGGCAGGTCTCGTGACACTTCGAAACTGATGTCATCAATGTCTGTATACGTTGTCCTTAAGCAAAAGAATAATCCTGGCAGCTTTCATGTATGATCTTTTCCTATCGGCGATAAAATATTATCAGTATTGTGAAATGCCCAATATTGTGTCTCACCTATTTACTATTTTCGGTGATTGATTTCTATAAGTACATATACGTACCGAGGTTATTCCTCCTCTCTTTCCCTTTTATATTTGGGCCGTGAAAAAATAATTTGTTCCCAATAACTTCTTACATGTCATACTCAGTGTCAATAAAGACAATGATAGCATTCCTTACATACGTTTATGTCTTTAGGGAAACCAGATAACAAATTTTATAAACAAAAAAAAATCAGTACTTACTCAAACATGTTAAATCGCCCTTTCTCCATTACTGTAGTCCAAGTTTTAGTAAGTCCGCCTGCCTCGATAGTACCCTTATTAAGAGAAATTGGTTTTGAATTTACTTTCTTTCAAAGTTAGCTTTACAACTTTGTATAATATCGAATACATTTATAATATTGATCCATGGGGTGAATTTCTTGCTCCGCGGGATTTTATTTAGAGTACACTCCGTTTTATTTGTAACAGCTCAACAGAAAATGAAATAAATTTAAACTTTAAGTAGTTCATACAACAACAGAAGAAATACAGGTGTGTCGAATGGAAAAGTTCCTCCTGGTGACATTACCTTAATTAGAATTGCGAACATTCCACCACACATGAGAATCGCTTGGAATACATCTGTCCATATCACAGCTGTGAATCCTCCCTGAAACCGATGGAAATGTAAATTACAGATATTGCAGGAGCACGAAAGAAAATACGATATACTAACAGAATAGTAAAGTCAAAATCAATGAAATTAGACCAAAATATAAAACAAGAGAAATTGTCATAGAGACTCTTGAAAAAAAGGCCGAGTGTTCCGGAGGGGTAAGCGTCTTTTACTTCATCGACAACATTTACCATGTACATCTTGGATATTCCCAAATGAGGACATGTAATTCAACAATGGAAAGGAAACCAAGGCAAACTAACGAGCATCGAAGACGTCCAGCTTCATAACTTATAAAGACATGCATCATACAGTTGGGGAGGTGCACTAGCAACATACATTTTAATTCAATAAATTTCATACTTATCATATATGAGATAATTTTAGAATAACGCCAAGTACATGTGTTTAATGTGAATCGTACCACTATTGGAATGAACTGAAATATGTCATGCAGGTTACGTTTAACCTAGGCACTAAAAGTCCACCAGAAGTGCCTACTGCCTGCAATCTCTATTCTTAGACAGGCAAAGATCAGCGTGGTACAATTTCGATGTCTACTTTAAATAAAACTAGCTGTAAATAAAATTGTATTCTATTTTGGTATTGTAACAATGGATTAGTCGGGAAGAAGGTTAGGGAATTTGTTGGGATGGGATAAAAAATCTTTACATAAAATGTTTGATTGAAATATCAAGTGTTTTCCCGTGTAAGGAATTGATTATCCATATGGAAGAATATATTGTTTTACTGCATCTACGATTAGTTTATTTTTTAAAAACAAACATGTCATATAGAACAGCAAATATAATACTGGCAATAAAGTGAGAAAAAAATTAAACGGGGATTCCTGACCCCCATCCTTCATCCTGGCAGAGTATGCATCTTCTGCTTCATCGACCTCGACGAACCCACCATGTAATGTCAATTCAAATACATAATGTCACGTTCCCAATTACAAACAAGGTAAATAACAGCTGAACCACTGGTATACACTGAAACAACAGCTGTCATGTGATAGCGTGCATTATAATAGTATTCTCTAGCACTACAACCATTAATGTGATGATGAGGTTCACTTACGCTGGGTGTTTTACCTTTTGATGACCCTAATGACATTTTATGTGTTGACGGGCCGTTAAGAGTGTCATAATGATAATAATAACTTTCAATGATGGTATAAATTGAAACAAGTGCCACCAATGTGATTATTTTGTATACTCACAATAATGGTATATATTAGCACAACAGCCATCAGCGTGATAATAGAAATCTCCATTGGAATATCAGCAACTAAAAATATATGCATATTAAAGTCTGTAATTCACTTGCTTTGTCACGTGATACATTCAGTGCTTTTACGCACACTTATCAAGTTATTATGTTTAGCATAACAATAACATCGATAGAGTTGTTTCCTCCATTTAAATGGTAATAATTATTTACAGCAATTGAAGACAAAGCTTTATAATAGATTTATTCGATTTCGCATTTGTGATATCCAATCTAATAAGTATTCAGCAGCGAGATCTGACACCACAATAGTGGTCACATGATCACATGGTCGGATGCTTAATACTCAAGGCATTGATGACATTCCCTAATCATTGCAGTAGAGAGGACGTGTCATTTTTAAAAAAAATAAATACTGCGTAATATTTGCATCTAAATTCCATACAGAAACGGATAAGAACATCAAAAAAAATTATTCGCTGACAAACAAACTTCGATGCCACCGGGAAGTATTCATAGAGTTCATTAATGGTAAGATACGATATTTGAACATTCGCAAAAAAGGAAATATATTAGTACATTGAACCCCCATTTTCCTTTATGTCGACCCTACTTTGTGTAAAACAATTAGATACGGCACAGAAAAAAAGAAGACAATATCACATGGCCATTTCGTCCTCCTAGGTTGTCCGTGATGCTAAGGGCATGAACCGTTAAACTCAAAGAGACGACTGAAAAAAGATACTTTGCATTTGCTGCAAGTATGAACAATCATTCACTCCGTAACAAATCTTGTGCAAACGCAGAAAAAAAAACATTTCTGCTGGTAATGGTGTCTGATGACATTTTTAATTTACCATCCGAAAGTTCTTTCTTTCTTCATCTTTAGTTCTCAAGAATGTTTTTATCAGAATAGTCACAAGGAATTGATGGTAGCTGACAGCAACAGCTGGTATACTAACGGGCAACAGGTGCGGTAGTTTGTATATTTAATTCATATTTCGATTTCATGATCATGTTATTTGTTTTCTTTTTACTATAAAAATGGTTTTATGTTTCAGAAAAATAATCACTCACCGATTTCCAACGTCACAGCTGGTACAAATACTACACTTCCGAGGTAGTTGACCTGTATTACAATAAATTTACCATTTACATGATATTGTAAAAATGCAATCAAATAAAATACTATTAACATTTAATATTAAATTGTAAAACAAATATTGTGCTTATGTTGACCACAAAGCTTCTATCTTCAACGCAAAGTTACACATGTATTTCGCAGGACCGACGATGGAAGATTAGAATCTATGTTATGATATTTGCTGTCAATCTTTTTTTATCGTTGTAATCGGCATTTTTATTGTTGATACGTTTTTTATCTTACAGTTAGTTTTTTTTTTCTTTTAAATTTGCAGATTTTCATGGCTAGACTAATTTATTTCTATCACAAATAGTTAAAGTACTAGAAACAAAAGATATTTCTCAAAAATGCGAATCGATATGATAATAGATACTTACCAATGAGAGCAAACTCAGTACTGTTGCAAAAAGTCTGAGTCCATGAGACTGATAACGGAGCTCAAAATACTGCGAAGGAAAAACAACACATTAAAGGCCTACCTAGTTCTTAATCGTATCATAACAGCGACAAAAAGACAAAAAGAAGCTGGGTTGCTATTTATTCATTAATATCTTAAAGCTTAGGATAGTAATTAGCGAAATATGTATATCGCATTGTAAATTATTATCTTAATTTCAGCTTTTGGATCTTAAAGTAACCTGATTTTAACAGCACAAATTACAGCGCTTTATACAGACTTGTTTACATACAAGGGGATATGAATAGACAAACGGTCCCACCTTACCGCTACCGGTAACCTAAAACAGGCTAATTTGGTGTACAAGTAGGGCAGTGAGCGGAGAGATAAAGAAACTCTTGTGTTCATTGGCACGCTAACTTGTAGACTAACTACGTAGACCCATTTCACCACTTTCCTCCCCGTTTCCTTCCAAAAGCAGGAGGCTCCAAATAGTAATGTCTCTGTTAGGCGTACTTAATTCGTTCCTTATCTAGCTGTAATGTACAAATTATCTGTGCGTTCTTCTCTACCTGTATTTAGCTCTAACATTAGTTGAATTCATAGCCTTCCTATCCTAATGACTTTGACAGTCGAGAATTGGTGTCTTCACAGAATGTTAATCAGTCACCATTGGCATCTGAAGAGTCGTCTGGAAATCCGATCCTTGTCCCCGGTCAGTTTCAAACAGTTTGTAGATCTGAATGTCCTCGCTGTCCGAGTTATCTACATACTCAACCTCACAATCATGACTAAGGCTTTGGTTTTTTACGTCTCTTCAGTCATAATGGTATCCTCGGGCGGTTTCAGGCGATGGATCAGCGACTATAGCCTCCTTCTTGTCCTACTAATGTGGTCTAAGCTTAGAACTCGTCTTTGGCGCCGACTTTCTTATTGCTTTTTGCTGGGTTCATGGGCACATGAGAATAGCAGGCAATGAAAAAGCAGATCGTGCCGCAAAGGATACTTTATCGCTACCATCTGTTGTTTTTAAAACTTATTTTACTGATTTTAAACCATTTATCAAACATTTTAACAGCTCAGTGGCATGAGGAATGGAATCAATTTGCTAGCAATAAATTGCACTCTGTGAAACCTATTATCGGTGAATGGTTTCTATGCCATAGAGACAACCACCAAGACGAAGTTGTCCTTACTTATGGGAACTGTCTGTAGTGCAGAATCGTAAGAGGCGTTCTTATGATGAACATTTGAACCAAAAGCTTTAGGAAGTTCGGGAATTTTGTATTCGAAGTGGACTTATTATTATTATCATTTTTACAGTCTTAACGGCCCGTCAACATATAAAAGGTCATTAGAGCCACCAAGCGGTAAAACACACAGCAATCCAAAAGGAAATAACATCAAACAAACCAGAAGGTAAAAGAAAAATGCTAAAAATCTGACATGGTGCTATTATCACAAAAGATAAAATTGTCTATAGTATAGACCAATATCTTAAAGATAAATTAGAATTTTACAAATCTCAACACTTTCAAAAAGGGTCTTTAGACTTGTAACATTACGATAAAAAAAATTCTTGAGTAGACAGGTCAATGCTGTCCAATAAACAATGTTTAACGATGAATGGCTCATCACATCCTATGCACCGAGGGTTATCTTCGCCTTTCAACTTATGAAAATGCGTACGGTACGTATGGCCCATCCGAAGATGGGCAAGGACAACTTTGTCTCGGTGGTTGTCTCTATAGCATGGAGACCATTCACAGACATGTTTTACGGAGTGGTAGCGATAAAGCTGTACTTTTTAAAGCCTGTGACACGAGATTGTTCATAAGTTGACGACCTGTTGCGCGAAAATAGGAATACGCTAGGAGTGTTTGTCCTGTCTTTATGCCAGATTTTATACGTCAATTTATCAATAAGTAATGGCTACATTTTTACGCAATTTACACGATATAGAATTATTCATCACTTGTTTAAACTCGCATAATTTCTGATAAATGTTTGCTTTTATTCTAAATACCAATATTCCGCCACCGACTTGACAGATCATATCAAAAGTATCCATACAAGAATATCGTATAACGCTCTTAGATTGTGTATATTATTTTCAGTTGATTCGAAATCTCGACAGTTTATTTTTCACTTACGAACGGTGACACATATGAGTGAACAATAACCACGGCATAGGAAGTGATTGTATTACCGATATATGGTTGTACATGACCTTACCAGTTAATGCCTAGTATATACACAATCTGAATACATCTATTTGACTTTAATTAATGCGGTCGCTATCTTGTATAAAAAATGTACTTGCTTCTCGTTCACTTTACCACTTGCTTCATGATGATATCGTAATTTTACCATCACCTCACCAATTATTGTGTAGGCGTCATTCATTTCTGAGATTATTAAGATTTCTTATAAACAATGTCCATGAGATTTGGGCGTATTTTTTAATCAATAAATTACGAAAAAAAATCTTAACATGCTTACGCTGACTCAACAAAAATCAAGTACCACAGAAGTGCCCACAAAACTGAACTTTTTTCGATATTGTTTGTTACTTTTCAATTCAGTATTCAACTAGTCAGTATTCAACATATGTTGGATAATAATGTTGATTTCTATGATGGTATCAATAAAATAATGTTCACCTCATAAACACTGGTAACGTCGAGTTTCCTTTGTGATGGTATTAGTAAATACAAAGCGACGATACGGCCAAAGAGGTTTCCTATAGATGACATGTACCACTGCATTCCGTACATGTACACTTCCGCCGGAACTCCCAACATCATGATGCCAGATTCATAGGAAACCATTAACGATAAGGCCAACGGAAAATACCACATATTTCCATCACCCAGAATAAATTGTCTGGTTGTTCTCTGGTTTCCTCCACGTAAGGAGTAGAACAAACCGATTCCCAGGGAGAAAGTCAAAGTTATAATGAATATGACGTAATCTTCCAATTTTAAAAATGCCATTTTTTATTTTGTGCGTTGTTAACCGTGAATTCAAAACCTGAAAATAGAACACAACAAATGAAATTTAAAAAGATAGTAATGCTTGAAATGTTACCCTTAGTTTAGATGACTAAATGGTTATTCAATTATTTATATCATAAACCATGCTGCTCAAACGGAAAATGGGCGTGTTCCGCGGTAGTTGCTACTCCAGTCACGTTTTCTGTTCCATTCCATTCTATCTCCGAAACCATTTTTAAAGCACAGAACGTAACGTCTATGTGAGCACCCAATGGCAGACTCAGTATGATACAATGTACCATCCGTCTGCGAAAAAAAAATCTTCCATTTTCTCTTTTATTTCGGAATCCGTTTTTTTCATTAACAAAGTTAGTATTTAAGTAAAATACGTAACTTCACTCTAAGCACACAATGAAAGAGTGTAATAATATCTATATAAAATGCGAAACGCAGAAAATCATTATAAATGTCAACTTCCCCAGCACATACCATACTTAGATATTTGTCTGTCCGTTCTTGTAATCCAAAGTCAGTTTATAATACACGCAATGTTTCTGATGAAGAAAACGCAGATGTACTTAAAAAGTTTTTCTGTTCTATTTCTAATAATATTGGTGAGCCTAATATTTTTCCAGACTTTCCTTCAATGTTCCTAATTCTATTGAATTTTTTTTTCTGAAACCGAAATAAAGGATATTCTTTTAACATTGAAGCTAAACAAGGCTACCGGAAAAGATCAAATCAGTCATGAAATGCGAAGAAATACCACTGAATGTGCTTGTATACCACTTAAATTGCTTTTAATCAGTGTAAGTTTCCGAGTCAGTGGAAAACAGTTAGAGTAGTACCTTTCTTTAGAAAAGTAATCGTTTTTATCTTCTAATTATAGACCCGCATCTCTTCTTAGTAACATATATATAATTTTGTCATTGGAAACAATTTTTGTATAAGCATCAGTCAGGGTTTGTTCCTGGACATTCTGCTGTTACACAATTACTAGAAATTTACCATAATATCTGTCTATCGTTAGAAAACAAGCTCCAAACATGTATGGTATTTTTCGATATATCAAAAGCATTTGAGAGAGTTTGGCATGATGGTCTAATGAAAAAAATGGTTTTAAAGGCAATATTTATAAATGGTTGAAAGATTACTTAAGTAATAGAAATCAAATTGTATACTTGGGTGAAGTTTTTCGCGCACAGGTTACGTGAATGCTGGTGTACCTCAAGGCTCTGTTTTGTTTTATATAAATGATATTTGTGAAAATTTATTTTCAATGTCAAGAATGTTTGCTGACGACACCTCGCTCGCATATTCTTCAAAACATAGTGCAGAAATAGAATATCATATGAATCATGATTTAGCAGTGATTGACCAATGGTCAAAGAAGTTGAATGTGAGTTTCAATCCT